GGCCACCTCTGCCTCCTCCTCCTCGCCGCAAAATATCGGGGAAGTTACTTATCTCTCCCCGTGTCAGTTTCCTCGCGGCTGTTAAGGATCAGTGTGTTCCCAGTGATGTTCGGGGGAGAATTAAACGAGATTCTGTATGTACAGAAAGCTTGAAAACAGTGCCCAGTGCATAGCATGATGCTGGGCGCTACCATTCATTTACTCCCACACTCAGGCGCCTGCTGTTTGGAAGCCCCTCTGAGCCTGGGATGGGGTCGGATCTCCTCCAGCTGCGGACCCCCGCGGTCCCTTCTCTGATCATTGCCTGTCTGGGACTGTTCCCGGATTCCTGGTCTTTTCTAGCCTCTGGTTTGGAAGGGAGGATGGCTGCCCGCTGGAGCCTGGGGGAACCGGCGTTTTATCCCAGAAAGAGAAGCGATCGCGATCACAGATTTGCTGAGTGCCTGAGGTGTCGCGAGGCCCTCCTAAGTGATCAGCATTTTGTGGTTATTGTTAAGAATCCCGTGTTGTTACCTTAAAGGCAACACTTTTTCTTGAGAGTTCCAGGTTTTTATTAACCATGACCTTCAGGCATGCGGGAAAAAAGACTGTTGCCGCTTCTTCAGCTTAATAACGTTTGCAAGTAATTATACCCATTGAGGGGGGAAAAGCCAGGGCAGTTTAACGGTCATTACCAACGGAGCTAATTGTATGTGAAGCAGCGAGTCATAATGGCAGACTTTTCTGAGGGTAAGGGGAACTCATATGACAGAGCAATCGTCTCTTGACTCCCGCATTTTTTAAAAGATTCATTTTTTGGCCGGACTCGTTGGCTCAGCCTGTAATCCCAGCACTTCGGGAGGCCGAGGCAAGAGGATTGCCTGAGACCCACCCGGACAACTTGGCGAGACCTCGTCTCTACAATAAATAAAAAACTAGCGGGGCATGGTAGCGCACGCCTGTGGTTCGGGCTACTTGGAAGGCTGAGGCGAAGGATCGCTGGAGCCCAGTAGGTCCACTCCAGTCTGGGCGACAGAGTGAGACTCCAACTCAAAAAAAACCAAAACACAAAATAAAGATTCATTTTTTGGAAATCACATTCACAAGGGCAGTCCTTAAAAGCATCATAGCATCTGCTTGTCAGAAGTTGCAGAAAATAGAGAATACGGTTGGTATGATTGTCCCCATTTACAGGCGACTGAATTGAGGCATAGAGGTTACTAACTTGCTCAAGGTTTACATTGCTAATCCGTAGAAAATAAGTAGAAATGCCAGAATTCGAAGGCAGGCATTTTGGCAACATTATGTTACCCGGTCTGTCTGCCTTTCGTTTCTTCTCTGGCTCAGAAAGAATAATCAGGGAGCTGCAAGAAGCATTTGGATGACAGTTCTGAAATTGTTCATAAACAAAAGCAACTGGCTCAGGGACCCTGGTGGTAGCTAGAATCCAGCTTCTGTTCTCAATAAACTATGTGCAGCTGTGTCTGCCTTGAGAAGGAGCATGTCATTCTGTTCATGTGAAGTGCCATGTGAACTCATGGTACCCCAAGCCTATCTCAAAATGTTTTTCCCTTCCCCAGTTTTGCCTTCCCAGAGCTCTGCTTTTTCCTGGAAGGAAGAGAAGAAAAATGACCAAGTTCCAGGTAAGATTCGTTTGCCTTCTGTTTCTTAAAATGACATCTCATTTCACAAAGACTGGGCACTTTGTTTCTTTCTTAAGAAAGGAAACTGGGAACTAAAGGCACTTGAAGGATGTTTTGTGCCAAGCTCTTTCCAAATAATAGTATAAAAATTAACAAATACTTTAAAAATAGAAAACAACTCTCACATTATAAACATGATTACAAATCATTTTTCCACATTCCTTTTTATTTGCATTCATTGGTATACGTTGCATTAGGGTATAATTTTGAATTTTTAAAGTTTAATTTTTTATCACCTACATTTTAAATGGTCACATCATTTACCATAGTTTACCTAATTCTATTTTTCTTCTCCATATTTAAATGGTTTATGAATTTTGTCATTTTAAAGGCATTGGCAGTGCAATGCCAGTTTTCCTACATATAACTTGTTCTTCTCAAATAGGAATTCTGAGAACTCTACCATTTGTGTGTGCATATGTGTGTTTTGTCCTTAACGTTTTAGAAGACTTAGCTGTTTTCTCAAAAGTGGTTCCTCATTTTGTGGAGAGAATAAAGTATGGCTTGGTGTGGTAGGATCTGACTGAAAATAATTTCAGTTGTTTCAAACAAGAGGGTTTAGATTTTTCTTCTTTAATTCTAAGTGAAACCATATATTATAATTATCTGTTTTATTGATTAACATGTTAGTGTATTACAAAGAAACACATATTTATTTATTTATTTTTTTGAGTTGAAGTCTCATTTTGCCACCCTGACTGGAGTGCAGTGACATACTCATGGCCACTGCAGCCTGACCTGCTGGGCTCAGGTGATCCTTCTGCCTCAGCCTTCCAAGTAGCTGGAGCTACAGGCACATGCTACCACACCCAGCTTATTTTTTGATTTATTGTAGAGATGAGGTTTCGCCAAGTTGCCCAGGTTAGTCTTGAACCCCCAGGCTCAGGCCTCAGCCTCCCAAAGTGCTGGGATTACAGGCTAAGCTACCATGTCCAGCCACACATACTTCATTTAAAAGTCAAATAGCATTAGGGGATTTGCCAGGCATTTACTTCATGGAACAGCTTTGTGAGAATGTAGATGATCTTACCTAATTCTAAACATCAAGAGACAGGTTTGTGAACCTTCAGATATCTATTGAAGTCCACTTAATGCCCGACTGACTCTAAAGATTCCAGTACCTAAACTAAGAGTTTCAAGTGTTCCATTTGGGTGAAGAAGAGACTCAGAAAAAGAAAGTTCTCCATTCAGGGACCTTAGGCCTTGTTATATGTGTACCTGGCATGTCCTGGGGGATGAAAGCCTCCAAAAATATCATTGTGCCTTACCTGGTCCCTTTCTTAGTTCCTGGCTCTGTACTAGATGTGTCACCTGGTTGTTTAGTATATACATGCTGAGAACTCCAGACAAAAAAAAATACAGGAATGAAGAGAGTCTTTAGTTTAAAATTTTAAATTTCCTTACAGAAAAACACAATACCCAACGTTATGAGACAAATAGAAAATGGATAGTGGTGGGAATTTATGCTAGAAAAAGGCTTAATATGCCTAATGATTATCTTATGCATTAGGATTGAGCAAAGGATGTAAACCACTAATATGTGAAAAAATATCAAAAGATGATCTTTTTAAAAAATTAAACAAATGGAAGTTTTTTAAAAGAGATGTTTTAATCACTTACCAACTTACCCTAGATTTAAAAAATAAGATTTTGTCCAGTTTTGGCCAGATTATGGAGAATTGGGAACACTTATAATCTCTTACAGGAAGAGTTAACTGAGAAAGCTGGGCTCGGTGGCTCAGCCTGTACTCCCACGCCTTTGGGAGGCTGAAGTGAATGGATTGCCTGAGTCCGTGGGTTCGAGACCCGCCTGGGCAACTTGGCAAGACTTCATCTCTACAATTAAAAAAAAAATTAGCCGGGCGTGGTAGCGTGTGCCTGTAGTTCCAGCTACTTGGAAGGATCACCGGAGCCCAGCAGGTCGAGGCTGCGGTGGCCGGGAGCGGCCACTGCACTCCAGTCTGGGCGACAGAGTGAGACTCCAACTCAAAAAAAAAAAAAAGAAAAGAAAATTTCCATTATAGTAGTCAAATAAAGGTGTATACATAGTTTTTGACAATGCAGTTATCATTCCTTGGAACTTACTAAGTAAATAGTCAGACAAGTTGGCTGAGCTATATATAAAAATATGGTCTTTTGCAGCAGTGTTTATAATTTTAAGGTGTAAAATTACTGAATTGTGCATTGTTTGGAATGTTTGAATATATTATAGATCATCACTTTTTTGAACTACTGTGCAGCCACGAGTGTGATGAAATAAATGATGATATTAAAAGTAATAATAGCTGACATTTGTTCAGTACTTACTGTATATGTCACATACTGTCCTAAGTTCCTTACATGTCATCACTATTAAATTTTTTCAAAGATCCTGTGATATAGATCCTATTATACAAAAGTGGAGATTGAGGTATTGAATAAGTTAGGTGAGTTGTCCAAGCTCTCAAAAGTAGTGATGAATAGAGCCTTGGAATGTGAACTGAGGTTGTCATTCTCCAGAGCATGTGCTCTCAATCTTGATCCTGAATGCTGCTACTACTAACAGATATGTCATGTTTGAGAATACAGAGAATGAACTATGTACCTGCCCCAGATCATTAATGAAGGCCTGTTACACTGGCAGGTGGTGACAAAATAGTGATACTACCCAGTGAGAGAAGATGGATATTATTAAACACTGTCAGGAAGAAATTAACAAAATTTTTTTTATATAATCTGGCACTATCAGTCAAATTATAAAATGTGTGTTTACCATGGTTTAACAAAGACAGCTCTAGGGACATAACTATATAAAGTGTACCATGTTATATGGACAAGGTATTTTTCTTTTTCCATTGGGTATAAGATGAAGGTTATGTGTGCTTGATATTGTAGGAGGCAGTGACCTTCAAGGACGTGGCTGTGGCCTTCACCGAGGAGGAGCTGGGGTTGCTGGACTCTGCCCAGAGGAAGCTGTACCGAGATGTGATGCTGGAGAACTTCAGGAATCTGGTCTCCGTGGGTGAGGACAGGTGCCCTCTAATTTGACAGCATTTCTCAACCTCCGCTATAGACATTTGGACCAGATAATTCTTTGTTATAAGGGGTTATCCTATGCATTTTAGGATGTTTGGTAGCATCCTTGGCCTCTGCACACTAGTTCAAGGCTTTGGGACTCCTCAGAGACCAGAGTTTTCCAGTTCCTCTGTAGCACAGAACAAGATGGTTCTGGTCTTTGCTCCAAGACAGACTTTTGTCTTTTATAAATGAACTGTAAATGAACAGTTGTGTTTGGCTGTTTCTGGCTCCTTTAGTCAGGGTCTCACTCTGTTGCCCAGACTGGAGTGCAGTGGCATGCTCATGGTCAACCTGGCGTCGACCTCCGGGCTCAGGTGATCCTTCTGCCTCAGCCTTCCAAGTAGCCAGAACTACAGGCATATGCTACACATGGCTAATTTTTTGATATATTGTAGAGATGAGGTCTCACCAAGTTGCCCAGGCTGGTTCGAACCCCTGGGCTCAGGTAATCCTCTCACCTCGGCCTCCCAAAGTGCTGGGATTATGGGTTTGAGCCACTGCACGTGCACAAGTTTATCTTTTATAAACTTGTGGGTCATGATATGCTGGTAGTCATGAAATTAATAAGCAGCATTAACATTTCTGTAATAAAATAGAATAGCAATATCAGATTTCCTTAGCTAGAATGATGCACATGATAACTACAGCTGCTTGCAGTAAGAAGTGTGAAAACAGATATTGGTTTGAAATAGGTTATTTAATCTTTTATTTTGATAGTTTATATAGGATAATAACGTATTTCTAATGATAGTAAATGGATTTCTTACAGTGTGTTTTGATAAACATTGTTTGGGGGCATAGGGTGGAGCCTTACATTATAGAATCCAAACCAAAACTTCTCAGTATTCTTTACCTTTAATGTTTGCACTTGAATCTTTTCACAGGACATCAGTTCTTCAAACCAGATATGATATCCCAGTTGGAGAAAGAGGAAAAACTTTGGCTGAGGGAGTTCCAGACCCCAAGAGGAAGGCATTCAGGTGAGAACTGTGCAGCTGGAGTCATTGTAGGTGATTGTAGGTGATTCTCCTTCTACTCAGGATAATTTCTTCTCCACCCAGCTACCAGGGAGGCCTTTTGAAAATATGTCACATCATGTCACTCCTTCCCTTCAGACCCTCTACTGGCTTCCCATTTCAATCAGAGTACATCCAGTGTATTTAAGAAACTTGTAAGCCTATATAATGTTTGCCCACTTACCTTTACCATTCTCATCTTTTTCCTGTCATTTCCCCCTTTCCTTGTCTCTACCAGCCTCACTTTTTCCTCAAGCACGACAATTGTGCTTCTTCATCAGAGCCTTTTACTTGCTTTTCTCTATCTGGAGTGCTGTTGTCCTCTAAACCTCCAGGCACTTTTTCTTATTTCATTTGTCTTTCTGCTCGGAAGTCATTTCATGAGAGACCCTGTCTGACGAGCCTGTTTAAAAATACCATCCACCCTTTACTCTCCATGTCCTTAATTTGCCTTAATGTATACCTAAACACTACACTGCTAGGTTTGTTAACATATATTTATTTTTTAATTGTGGCAAAATATACGTAACATAAATTTTAACATGTTAAACATTTTTGAGTATATAGTAGCGTTAAGTACATTCGCATTGTTGTGCAACCATCAACACCATTCATCTCCAGAACCTTTTCATTGTTCCATACGGAAATTCTATATCCATTAAATAATGACTCCCAATTCACCTTCTCCCTCCAACCCCTATTAATCACTGTTCTGCTTTCTGCCTCTGTGAATTTGACTATTCTAGGTACTTCTTTTAAGCAGACTCATAATATTTGTGTGTGACTTATTTCACTTAGCATAATATCTTCAAGGTTCATCTATGTGGTATTATGTTAGAATTTTCTTTTTTAAGGCTGATTAATATTCCTTTGTAGTATGGAATAACATAGGGGTTAGGGACACTGACTGCCCTTGTGTCAAAAATCCACATATTACTTTTGCCAGAAACTTACTGCTAGTAGTCTACTGACCAGAAGCCTTATTGATAACATATACAGTTGATTAACACGTTTTTTATTTTATATGGATTATATGCTGAATTTTTACCAAAAAGTAAGCTAGAGGAAAGAATGTTATTAAGAAAATCAAGGCTGGGCACAGTAGCCTACACCTATAATCCCAGTACCTTGGGAGACCAAGGTGGGAGGATTACTTGAGCCCAGAAGTTCAAGACCAGCCTGAGCAGCACAGTGAGACCCTGTCTCTAAGAAACATTTTAAAAAATTAGCTGGATGTGGTGGCACACACCTGTAGTCCCAGTTACTCAGGAAACTGAGGCAGAAGGATCGCCTAAGCCCAGGAGATTGAGGCTGCCATTGCCCTTCAGCCCGGGTGACAGAGTGAGATCCCAACTCAAAAAGAAAAAAAAAAATATATATATATATATATATATTTTTTTTTTTTTTTATATATATAAAAAATAAAAGCTGGGTGTGGTAGCTCCTCATGCCTATAATCCCAACACTTTGGGAGGCTGACACAGAAGGGTTGTCTGAGCACAGGGGTTTAAGACCAGTCTGGGCAACATGGTAAGACCTTGTCTCTATAATAAACCAAAAAATTAGCCAGGTGTGGTGGTTTGTGCTTGTAGTCCCAGCTGTTCTGAAGGCTGAGGTGAAAGGATTGCCTGAGCACAACAGGTGGAGGCTGTGGTAGCTGTGATTGTCCCAGTGCACTCCAGGGTGGACAACAGAGTGTGACTCCAATTCAAAAGAAAAAAGAAAAATCATAAGGAAGAGAAATATGTTTACTATTCATTAAGTGGAAATGAATTATCATAAGGGTCTTCAGAACCTCATCATCTTCACATTGAGTAGGCTGAGGAGAAGGTGGAAGAAGAGAGGTTGGTCTTGGCTATCTCTTGGGTGTCAGAGGGGGAAGGAAATCTAAGTGTGAACTTACTAGCCTGCACCCATGTTGTTCAAGGACTAACTATATACCAAATTTTCTTTATCCATTTATCTGTCAGTGGACATTTGGGTTGTTTTCACCTTTTGGCTGTTGTGAAAATGCTGTTATGTATATTTGTATGCTAATACCTGTTTGAGTCTTGCTTTCAGTTCTTTGAATATATACCCAGAAATGTAATTGTTGGATCATATGGTAATTCTGTATTAGTTTTTGAGGAACAGCCATAATGTTTTCCACAACAGCTACACCATTTCATTTTCTCAGTAGCAATGCACAATTTCTCCATATCCTCGCCAACACTTATTTTCTATTTTTCTGGTAATATTCATTTGAATCGGGGGAAAAAGCCATCTGACTGAGTTTGAAGTGTTATCTCATTATGATTTTGATTTGCCTTTCCCTAATGATTAGTGATGCTGAGAATCTTGTCATGTGCTTATTACCACTTGTATATCTTTAGAGAAATGTCTATTCCAGTTTTTTGCCCATTTTTGAATCTGGTTATTTGGTTTTTTTGTTGTTGAGTTTTGAGAGTTCTCTATATATTCTGGATATTAATCCCTTATTAGATATATAATTTGCAAGTCTTTTCTCCAATTCTTTTTGTTACCTTTTGTACTCTGTTAATAGTGTTTATTGATGCACAGAGTTTTTAATTTTCATGAAATTCAGGTTGTCTTTTTTTTCTTTAGTTGTCTGTGCTTTTGCCCAAGAAACCATTGCAAAATCCAGTGTTGCAAAGCTTTTGCCATATGGTTTCTCGAGGAGTTGAATAGTTTTAACTTTCACATGTAAGCTTTGATGCATTTTGAGTTAATCTTTTTATATGGTATAGGTTAGGGGTCCAGCTTGATTCCTTTGCATGTGAATATCCAGTTTTCCCAGCACTATTTGTTGAAAACACTGTTCTTCCCCATTGAATGATCTTGGCACCCTTGTCAAAAATCATTTGACCGTATATGCAAGGTTTATTTCTGTTCCATTTGTCTATATGTTTGGTTACTATAGCTTTGAATAAGTTTTGAAGAAGTGTTAGTCCTCCAACTTTTTTCTTCTTTTCAAGGTTGTTTTGCCTATTTGGAGTCTAATATGCGATTCTATATGAATTTTAGGATGAGTTTTTCTATTTCTGCAAAAAAAATGGAATTTTTATAGAAATTGCATTGAATCTGTAGATTGCTTTTGATGATATTGATGTTAAGTCATTCAATCTGTGAACATGGGACATCTTTCAGTTTATGCCATCTTTAATACCTTTCAGCAGTGTTTTATAGTTTTCAATGTACAAGTCTTTTACCTCCTTGCTTAAGTTAATTGGTAAGTAGTTTATTTATTATTTTTTTTGCTATCTTAAATGAAATTGTTTTCTTAATTTCTTTTTTAGATAGTTTGAATTGGTGTATAGAAACACAACTGACTTTTGTGTGTTGACTTTGTGTCCTGCTACTTTCCTCAGTTGATTTATTCTAACAGTTTTTGTGTGTGGAATCTTTTGGGCTTCTACATATATCTTCTGTAAACAGAGATAATTTCACTTCTTCCTTTCCAATTTTGATGTATTTTCTTTGTTTTTCTGGACTAATTGCTCTTCTAGGACTTCCAGTACCGTGTTGACTAGAAGCGGTAAAAGCAGGCACCTTTACCTTCTTCTGATACTGGAGGAAGAGCTTTCAATTTTTCACCATGGAATGTAATGTTTGCTGTGGGTTTTTCATTTATGACTTTTATTATTTTGAATTAGATTCTTTCTATTTCTAGTTGTTTTTATTATGAAAGAATTTTTAATTTTGGCAAATGCTTTTTCTACATCAGTTGAAATGATTATGGTTTTTTCCTTCATCCTGTTAATGTAGTATATTACATAGATTGATTCTCATGTTAAACCATCTTTGCATTCCAGGGATAAATTTTATTGATCATGGCGTATACTCCTTTTAATAGGTTACTGAATTCTGTTTACTAGGATTTTGTAGAGAGTTTTGGCATTGATGTTCATAAGAAATATTGGGCCATAGTTTTCTTTTCTTTTTTTTTAACTTTTAATTTTTTAATTTTCAAGATGTGGGGTACAATTCAGGGTTACGTATGTAAATATTTTAATTTCCTTTTCTTACAGTATCTTTGTCTGCTTTGTTATTAGGACAATGCTGGCCTCAGAATGAGTTAGGAAGTATTCTCCCCTCTTCAACTTTTTGGAGAGTCAGTTGGGTTGGTTTTAGTTCTTTAAATGTTCAGTACAATTCATCAGAGAAGCCTTCTGGTCCAGGACTTTTCTTTGCTAGGGGAGCTTTTGATGGCTGATTTAATATTTTTAGTATTTATAGGTCTATTCATATTTTCTGTTTCTTTCTGACTCAGTCTTAGAAGATTGTGAGTTTCTACGAATTTGTTCATTTCATCTAAGTTATCCAGTTTTTTGGCATACAGTTGTTCATGGTACTCTCTTATAATCCTTTTTGTCAGTATTAATGTTCCCAGGTCCATTTTTTATTTTAATGCTTTGAGGCTTTTCTGGTTTTTTTTCTTAATCTGTCTAAATGTTTGTCAGTTCTGTTGATCTTTTCAAGGTACTAACTCTTAATTTTTATTGATTTTTTTCTGTTGTTATTTGTTTATTTACTACTGCTCTAATCCTCATTAGATTTCTTCTTTTCTACTGCCTTTGGGCTTAATTTGTTCTTTTTTTTTTCAGTTTCTTAAGGTGTAAGGTTATGTTGTGATTTGAGCTCTGTCTTTTACTCTGTTACCCAGACTGAGTACAGTGGCACAGTCACAGCTCACCACAGCCTCAAACTACTGGTCTCAAGCAATCCTCTCACCTCAGCCTTCCAGGTGACTGGGACTACAGGCATGTGCCACCACACCTGGCTAATTTTTTAATTTTTTTGTAGCGACAAGATTTTGCTATGTTGGCCAGACTGGTCTTGAGCTCTTGGACTCAAGCAGTCCTCCCACCTTGGCCTCCCGAAGTGTTGAGAGTGCAGGTGTGAGCCACCAAGCCTGGTCTGTTTTATCTTTTAATGTAAGCATTTACAGTTATACATTTTCCTCT